GATGTGTTGGAAGGATGGGATCAAATCTATGGTGAGAAAAATGACGTCTTTGTTTTCTTCCCACTATGTGTGAACGTGTGTATATGCGTGTGTGTGTGTGTGTGTGTGTGTGTATGTCTATTTTCAGCAATGATTTTCTGTTTTTCCTTTGCATAAATGTTTTTTCTTTCATGTTCCATGGACACCTTGAGTAGTGGGATATACGAAATGATTAATAGATATTTTTGCTTGTTTTTAGTATATAAAACGTTAGTACAAGGCAGGTTAGCATCCTATATGGATGCCACCAAAGGTGCATTGTGGTCTAATTTCAGATTTCAGATTAAGTTAAGAAAAATATAGCCTAGTTAGTAAGGTCTCTTGGCTTTTGCCACCCAGCGGCAGCCTTTTTCAATGAGAAACACATAGCAACTTTACAAGTAAAAGAAAAAAAAATGGGTAAGAAGTGTCCTACACACGATGTAGCAGTGTTGATCTTATTGTCTGCATCCTCTTTGCTGTGTATGTCACTGCGTATGGTTGGAGATGAATCGACAGATCTTCACATTCCAAGAGAAGAAAAATCATTCCTAGACTGAAATCTCTTTTAAACAATAGATATCAACATTTTTTTTAATGGCACTCACTTTTTAAAAGGGTCTGAAAATGAAGCCCTTATAGACAAATATTAGACAAGAGTCATTATTTCTTGAAAAATTTAAAAAAAGGGACATAGAGAGGTTCTTTAATGGGATTTCTTGAAATGGCTATTAAATCTCTTTATTGAAGAAAAAAATAGATGACATACATGCTTTATGCAGAAGTGACATTTGGGGGTCCTGACACACTGGGATTGTTCAACAGTCCTACATTGCTGACCAGATTGTTGAGGGTCAGTTAGAATAATTAAAAACGGATGGTGAAGCAACTATCCCTTTATCTGCTTCCTTCTTGTCTAGCACCCAATCTTTCACATTTTTCTTCTGTGGGAATTTATAACTTATACATCGAGCAAACTTCATATCACTTGTTTCTAGGGCCATATTTGCAGGACACGCCCCTAGCACAGCTTCTCTATTCTGGGCATATTTCTAAAAAGCATATCAAATTCTGGGCTGAAAACCGACCAGATAATTTAGGATATGGGCAAGTTAGGGTGTGCACTTACTGAATTCCAAGATGCATGGTGAAATGGTGAGATCAGAAAGGGGCCCTGCATTTGATGAAAATTCAAAAATAAAAAGCATAAAATAAACTAATTAGTATATACAAGGGATGTCAGTTGACCCAATAGATTGCTAATGTATTAAAGACAATTTAGGGTGTTGCCATGTGATACGTTCTAATCCCACAGGTTATCCTTTTGACAGCTGACCTTGAACTTATAAAATGTATGCAGAGTAAAAGAAAACAGAAAGAAAATAGTTACTCAAATGTGCAACCGCACAAATATCCCCCCTCCCACTATTAAGATAACAAAACTTCTGCTATTACCATAATATTATATATATTAGAAAGCTATACACAAGCATGTTAATTTCACAGATTTTTTAAAAGATTCTTAATATTTTATATAATTAGAAATACACATTTCAAAAACAAAACTTCTACAAAGAGAAAACAGTTATCTTGGTTAGCAAAGCATGGAGCTCCTCATGGCTTAGGGTAGTGCTTTCTATACAAAAAGTCCTTTTTGTTTTTTTACAGGACTGTTTAAAATATCAGCGAAGCTATCAAGGGGGAAAAACACATTTTGGCTTAAGTAAACTACAAAAAGCCACAAATGCTTTGCAAACTCTGTCTTACCTTTTATATGAAAATAAGCAAAATGTAATGTACATATTTTTATACTTTTATTTAATAAGAGATGCAGACCCAGGTTTCTTTATTTAATTAAATACGTTAGCCCTCAAACTCCACTTTTTTGTTTTAAATAGGTATGGTCCTCTTTTAATGGTCATCGATCCTTTTTATTGAGTGCCATACGCCAATGATACGCCTGCAGGTTTGTGAGCGTTTTCAGGGTGGTAGGTGACCTGGCGTGTTCCTAACGTTTACCAATGGCCACCCTTTGCCGGGTCTGTCCACAACATCTATACATTTTTCTATATGTTGCATAACAGCTGCTCTCTCTTTCAGTAAAGATCTGCCGCTTTTGGCAAATGTTTCCTTTTTTTGTCTATTTACATGTAAATAACGTTGAACCTGCAACATGACACTATCTATTGTAACATACATTTTGCAAAGGAGCACAACAGTGAAAAGAAGTTAGCCTTAAAATCTATTTTGTACAAGTGTTCTGTTGTACAACTCAAGTGCTAAGCTTATCTCAGCATGTCTGTTTATCTTTATACTGTGTCACTGAGGCAATTTAAAAGTACTTTTACAAAACAGAGTACCTGACTTTTTTTTTTTTCCACACACAGCACATATAATGCATATCGACCCCCCTTCCCCATTAAGGTATAGCACACACACACACTGCAAGAAAAAAAACACAAACTATTAAGTAATAATCTGATCATGTTGCCCATCCTTCAGAGAGTCGCATGCGCTTGACGGAGGGACTTTCCCTTTCGTCCGGCGAAGGTCTGGTGAGTCCAATGGGGGAGTGGAATTCGTTCCGGTGATCCTCGCGGTCGCTCCCGTCGTAGGAACTGCTACAGCTGCTCAAGCTGTCAACAGGAGATCTCCCCGCCTCGTGGCGCGTGTGTGGTGGGTATCTCGAAGGGGTGGTGGTACGGTCTCTAGGAGGAGAAACAGGTTCTGACTTGATGTTGAGGCTTTGAGTAGAAGGCAGGGAGAGATTTGAACTCTGAGATAAATGAGTGCTAGTGCAAGCTCTGTAGGAGGAAAGGAAACCCAGTTACAGATGGAGGAGGCCTGGAGCCCCCAGGAACTCACAATTACATCAAACATCAGCTTAAGACTCTCGCATAGACACCAGAGCATGCCCGGAGCGGGAGGGTGCTCAGAAGCACTGGAGGGGCAGCGCCGTCTCCGTCTGCCCCCAGTGATGACTGTTTCGCTGGCCCAGGCCCCTGAATGACACCTCTGGTCTGACAAGCTCCCTGAGCCTATCCTACAGGTTTGAAAGGGGTAGCCAGACACGCTGGGAAAAGCATTCTCTGTGTTGCGGGGTTTCTCCCTAGACTAGCTCCAAAATCGAATCTAAGATTTAAGTTACATTGTTTGGCTTTCGAGTTATACGTCCTTGGTCTACTAATGCCAGGGCTTGAAAGTTAGTGTAAAGAGCTTATTTTGAATATGAATGGTTCCCTCAATGTAATGAGCACTTACACACTAAGTTGCACAGGCTTCAGAGAAAGGGAAAAGAGTTCGAATTTGAAGTGAATAGCGTCCCTGAAAGGCTACCTATGACCATATCTAGCGAAAAGCCCGGGAAGGCGAAAGAAGAGGACAGGGGAAGGAGGGTGCCAATTATCTGCAGCACTTTAAAGTGTTGGCTTAGAAACACTTAGGTTTCCTACTTCACTGAAATGGGTATAATTTTACTTTCTTCACCTTCTCTCAGCTACATGGGATGAAAATGCTGTTTATATTGCACAATTACCTCAACTTTCCTAATGCGAGTCTCACCCTGCTAGCGTACTCAGGGTACCACTGCTCTTGTTTATAACTGCCATTAACTGGTGAATCCGGATTTGCCTAAGAAAAGGTTGTTGTAAAGAAGGGTCTAGTGTAATTTTACTCTGTTTATCACCCCTGGCCCTTATCTGTTCCAGGAGAGTATAACTTGCCCTTACTACAAAATGTGGGAGAATTTAGGGACTTGAAACTCTGGAGCGAAAGGCAGGAAGCCCTAAGTGTAGATGAGCAACCACAACAACTTTTATCAGGATAAACCACAATCCTACTGCTGAGGTCAATGTTAAGAGGCTTGCACTGTTTGCACATTCAGATTGCACTGGCATCCACGGCTAAAGTCAGTATCACTTGCCCACATAGTCAAGAGAATACGGAAACCTCTTATACTGAGGAAGAGTTACAGCAAAGACTAATCCGTACAGACACACCCATTTGAAACAAAGGAAGGCAAGGCTGCCAAACGATATATGCGATTATCGTACTTTCCAATGGAGAGAACTGGATGGTGTTAAACATGTGATTATGAGCAGTGAGAAAATAGGTATATGTATATCAGAGGAAAAAGTGGAGTAACTGGGGCTGGCTTTGTGAAAGATGCCATTGAAGCTCAAGATGTATAGAGATACAAAATTAGTCAGAAATGAGTTTATCTTTGAGTGATGTTTTATACAAAAGCACCACCTACTGGCAAAGAATTACTTTCCTTTCCTTATTAATAGATGAGCTAATGTCGAGAATAGCATAAAGGAGAATTATTTGTTTCCCTAATAAGCCCTTCCTTCTCTGGCTTTTATGATCTTTTTATTAAAATTTTTTATTTATTGATTTGAGAGAGAGGGAGAGGGGGGGGAAAGGGGATATATATATATATATATATATAGAGAGAGAGAGAGAAAGAGATTCTACTTATTTATGCATTCATTGGTTGATTCTTGTATGTGTCCTGACCAGGGATCAAACCTGAAGCTGGCCAGGCCCTTTTATAATCTTATAGAATCAAAGCAGTTTTAGCATTTATATCAAGAATATATAATTTTCAATCACCCATTTATTTTACAGTCTCTATACGAATTTTCTAAGAGTTTTAATTAAGTAATGTTTTAGTCAATAAGATATTAAAATGGAGGTGGAGCTGTATTTCAAAGGACCCATAATGGTGGGCTATTTTATCTTGGTTCAACGTCTCTTAATGCTTCATTTTGATGTCAGAGGAAATCATCTTTTGATTTCTGGAAGAAAGAATTTTCCTGGCTCTAGATAAAAAAGATCATTTCACTAAAATTTAATGAAATGCCTCTTACAATGACTCATACAGCTGTTTAATAGTGAATGTGTATTAGGAGGCTGAAAATATGCGGCATATCCATAAGTACTTTTGTCTGCCCTTTGACATTTAAATTGTGTCTTCACAGGCTGGGGACATGGGAAATTTGAAAAAACAATATTTGGTGATTTGGACTAGTAAAGCACTTAATCTGGACAAGGTAAGCAAAAAGTAACATAATCAAAATGTTGTTCTTTAATACAATTTTTGAAAGCTGCATTATCTCCCAATGTCAACTGGCTTGTACAAATTTTGCTGTATTTCTTCCCCATAGAAGACAAGACATTTACTGCTTATCCCTTCCTATAAACAAACAGGCCAGTCAGCCCCTAAGTTCATTTTTGGGGTGGCATTTCATTTTACACGGACAGCATGTATGAAGCATTTTGAGTAGTTCCAGAGACACTAAGTGCACAGTCATAACACGTCAGTGATATAGCTGAGATTCGGCTTCATCGGACTGTGGTAGAGGATTCAAAACAGAATGAAATCTAATTGACTAGCCACTGTTCTCGAGGAAGTGTCTTCTTGAAAAGGAAAAGGGACGTTAAAGGTCACTGAGCTGTATGTATGCGAGTTTGAGAACAAAACTTTTGTGGACACAGATCCTTGTGAGCTACTTCCGATGCGTGGGTGAGAACGAGGTGGGTGGGGAAGCCAGAAGCCAGACATGCACACTGCCCCTGTCAGGTCCTGCTGCTAGGTTTCGTCCTCTACAAATGCCTTCCAGCTGGGAAGACACCTACCCTTCCCCATAATTGTTCAGAAGTGAAAGATAATTGGATGGTTTTATTCAAATTTCTTACTGCTTTCTCCTGGAAACTAGGCTAGCAGACTATATTTTCTCTAACCTTTTAAAATTCGTCTTTATTCAAAGTTACCGCCTCTCAGTATGTCCTGCATACCCACCTCAACAAAGATGATGTATAGAAATGCTCCCAGAAAACAGGCTGCCCTGGTTTTAGGTGGTGGGGAAAAAAAGCCCTAAAAATTCAAGGGTCTTTTGCTCAAATCTTAATATGCAAACAACTCTCACTAACCTTTGATGGCAAGTTCCTTCCGCCAGTTGTCTCTATTCCCTACATCAAATCAATTTATGCCATTTATCTAACTTGCTTAGATAAAATCAGGCACTAGACAATGTTAAAAGTATAGTTTTGAAGAGTTAAAGGTATTTCCATGAAAAAAAGTAATTTTTAATTTTGAGAGAAAAACTGTGGCGCCCGTCTTGGTCAGGCTGAAATATATTTTACTTTGCTGTACCTAGCCAAAAGAATGTGACCCCACCCCACAGGCACATGAAACTGCTTAGCCAGGAAAAAAAAAATCAATTTTAAAATTAATTTATACAAAGGCACCTCATATAGTTCATTTTACATAAATATTACAACCTGGGGGGAGGTCAAAAAAGAGTGTCACACTTAATTGTGTGAGCATGGGCTAGTCCATCTGAAGGAACCTCCTCTTGAAAAGCTGTGTACGTGTGTGTG